ACTGAGAAGCTTGTCAGTGTCTGCTCGACACGTTTGTTGACTTCATCAAACCAAAGGTCCTGTTTTTACACAGGGTTTGTGTTTCTTTTCAGATGGGTTGTTAATATTAAGACGAGCTGAGAGCAGCAGCGGCGAGTCGCAGACCTGACAGAAACCTCAACGACACTTTGTTGTGGGCGGTTTGTGATTTCCCACGTTTATAGGTCAGCGTGAAGCAAACAAACACGGCAGGGAGTTTTTCTCTGCACCCGTCTCTCCTCGCTGACTGATCTGAGGTCTGATAAAGAGACGGACCAGGAGGGCACCTTTATCTGACTTAATACTGAGTCAGAACCAGGACAGGCAGGAGGTCATCAAGATTTATTATTTAATTATTTAAAACCAGAAATCAGCCTCGATACAACTTTAATCCGGTTTTACTTTGTAGATCTCATTAAAACAACTTACTGATAATTCAAACAGAACCAGCACTGTGGAGCTGAAACCAGCAGACAGGAAGTTCCTCCAGAAGCTTCTAACCTCTGGATCAAACGTCTGCAGCTCCATCATGGTGCAACCAGAGACCCTCAGCTGGACTGAGGTCCTCCTTAAACCTTCAGCTGTGAGTTGGTCCAGCTGGAAGGTGGACCTCAGTCTCAGATCTCTGGGAGCCTCCAGTAAGTTCCTCCCAAGATTTCCCTGCATTTTTGCTCTGTTTATCTTTAATTCAGTTCTCCTGGGAGGAGAGTTCATGAAGTTTAAAGGGCCTGTGACGTCAAATTTTTGTAATAAACATGAAAGCATTTTTGGAAAGAGAACACTGATAACATGTTGCAAAACAAATTTCACGTCACTCAGATGAATGGTTGTTGTGATATATTTGCGCGTGAAGAAACAGGAAGTGATGTCAAATGGGAATGTCAACATCTAAACAGTGCATTGTAACAAAAACTAACAACACAGACTGCAGAGAAGAATCTGATGTTTCTTTAGATTATTTTGAGTCTCTATCAGAGGGATGAAGAAGAGTTTAAGTTTAAATAATTTTGTATTAATAAACAGAGACCAGAGAGTTTATTTTTTTAATGAGTTCCCCTTTGATGTCACTTCCTGTTTCACTTTGTCTGAGCCACTTCAAAAGAAAATAGTCCAGTTATGTGACAAAATGTGTAAAATCATGTGTATCATGCCAATTTTTTTAAGTATAAAGATGCTTTCTTTGACTTTTTGTATTTGAAGGATAGGCATGTCACAGACACTTTAAAGGTTCATGAACTTTAAAGGTATCTGTGATTAAAGGTTTTGATTAAAGAAGCATTATGCAAACAAACAAACAAACAAACAAACAAACAAAAGTCTTTCATTTTGATCTTTCAGTTGGAGGGAAACTAAAAGTATTGATGACTAACAGATGACGTCTCGACGACCTCAGATAAACTTTAAATAACATTTTTGTACCAAAACTCACAACTTGTTCCTTTTATTACATTTATATGAATTTTTAAGAATCAGTTTGTAGAAATGTTTAGATGTGAGAACTCCATGACCCTAAAAGGAAGAAATGGGTATAGATAATGGGTGGATGTTTAGATCTGAATATTTACTGTTGAAATACTTTAACATCACAGTGGTTTAAATAGCAAAGGAAAACAGTTTAATTAGTAAAATTCCAGTTTTTATTACGTGCATTTTGCAAGAGTACCTCACAACATCAACTCATGCAGGAATCCAACCACAAACTCTGACTCTGGTTTCTTAGTAAAAAAAAAAAAGAGAAAACAGAAGTGAAAGCTGCATGTTTTTGAGCTGCAGTGAGAGTTGGAAGAAAAGAGGTTAGGGTTTATTCTCAGGTGTTGGTTTCAGGGTCTGAGGGACGTCCCCATGCTGCCAGAGTGTGCTTCTGGATCATGAAACATCTCCTACTTTCTTTACTTTCACACACAGACCTGGACAAATTGACACCCACATGTGCAACATGAAAAAACAAAATGTGTTGTCGGTGAGCTGGCAGGTGCAGTCCCCTATACCCCGTCCTCTGTCCTCTGTCCCCCGATGTTCTACCTGTGATAAAGCAGTGTTTGATGAAGCTGCAGGTAGTTCTGCTGAAAGTCTCCAGAGTTTCCCAACAAACTCAGCCTGAAAGTCACGACCCGCCCACAGACCACCACAGTCCTCACCTTTAGGACCCCGGAGCTTAAGCCTGAGAAACGAGGACGTGGGTCTGTGAGGGTCCAGGCTGAGATCCAAATGTCTCTGTGTTCTGAATGAACTCGCATCAAATCAAAGAAACCACAACAGAAGACTTGAAACCATTTTACATCTAATATGAATATGTTTCATGATCTTCAGCTGATGTTTGATGTTCAAAATACAGCGGGTAAAATAAGTATTGAACACGTCACCATTTTTCTCAGTAAATATATTACTAGAGGTGCTAATGACATGAAATCAAGTGATCCATACATACAAAGAAATCAAACCATAAATGTCCAGAAATGAAGTTATTTGTAATAATGTGGAATGGCACAGGGAAAAAGCATTAAACACGCTTACTGAAATTTATCTTATACTTTGTACAAAAGCCTTTGTCAATGACAGCTTCAAGAGGCCTCCTGTATGGAGAAACTAGTCGCAAGCATTGCTCAGGTGTGATTTTGGCCCATTCTTCCACAAAC